TGGGCCGGGCCCGGGCAGGGAGTGGGGGGGGGGGCTGGCCGCTGAGACCCCCGGGTGGGGGGGGACTAGTGTGGGGGCTTCATCCCATGTCTAGACGGGAGCGCGGGCTGCAGGGAGGGAGTGGGCCTTCTGCTCGCTCTGATTAGCATGCTCTTTAAATAAGACTCTAATTTCCGCTGTTAGAAGAGCTCAGATCCCTTGTGCCCGGGCTGGGGCCGCAGCCAGCCCCGTCCCATCCCCCAGCCCCGCACGCTGGCAGCAGAAGGGATGGGGACCGAGGTGGCCGTGGTGCTCCCGTAACGCACCCGACCGAGGGGCCACGTGGGGTGCTGGGGGACATGGGCGAGGGGCGAGGGCTTGCCTGGTTCCTGGGTGGGGGCCAGTGGCTTGTCCTCCCCCCGCACCCCGGCGCGGCTGCCCGCCTGAGCTCAGCTCCGGGGAATGCACTGGGATTCCTGGGCACCATGCCAGAGCGTGGAGAGGCGAGGGGGGACGTCGTCCTGCCCAGGGAGCCTCTGCTGCCCGCTGCCGTCCACTGCCTTCCCCGGGCGGCGGCGGGGAAGGAAACACCCTTAGCAAGGGGCTGCGTCCCGCCTGGGGTCGTGGCTTGCTCCCTCCTCTGCTATGCCTGCTTCTGGAGGGCGGGCAGGACGCTGGGCTGCTGCTAGCACCTCACTGAACTGGGTAAACTGGCCAACGCATGCGGGCGGCCGTGGGAAGCCCAAAGGAGCGTAACCCCTGCTCTGACGGCCCAGGCAGGGGCTGGCCTCGAGCCACGGTGCATGCAGGGGAGACGGCAGGACAGGGCTTTGCAAGTGATCTCAGGGCACTGGGTGTGCTCGAGGAGGTCGTGCCCCATGTGTGTGGGGCTGGGGCTGTCCTGGGAGCCCCCGGGGCCCTCCCTGCCCCAGGGGATGGAGTCCTGGAGCAGAGCTGCTGTCCGGCAGCTCCTGGGGTCCCTGGGAGAAATCCTGGGGAAGGGGCTTTCACCGGACCTTCCCTCCGCAAGGCTGCGGAGTTAGACCCGTTCGGACCTGAGCCATCCTATTGCAATGGCAGGAGGCTTATTAACGAGGAATTAAGCCACGGGCACATCCCGGCTGTGTGGGGCTGAGCCAGTGCTGGCCAGGGGGCTGCTCCCTGATGCA